AGTACCGATGGTAGAAACACCAGCATTAACGCTAGCAAGGATTCAGGAGTCAGCTATTTTCTGGGACTTTGGGGATGTCTTCTCCCTGCGTCTCCTCCCCTGATGGGCAGCCCCTGTCCTTGGGGATATAAGGGACAGTGAGGAAGACAGTTACGAGGGGAGGGCAGCTGACATTGCTGGGGCAGGGCGTGAGGACTGGGTTTGGGGACGGTCACTTTACTGCCTGAGTAGCTACTGTGTGGTCTGGGCAGGGTGCTGCAGCCTGGGATGGGCTCCACTTTTGCAGAAAGTGAGGTAGCCTCCCCCCTCACCTCAAGGACACCTAGTTTGGAGCCCAGGGTAGGGCGAGAAGTGTATGGATCTGCCTCAGAGATGGGCCCCCACCCCAGCCCCGATGCCTGTCTCAGGGGACAGGCCTTGGGAGACAGGAGAGATGGAGGCTCTGAGGTCCAGGTGAAAAAGCAAGGTTCCTGGCTCCTGTGCAGGCCTCTCATACCCCACACGTCCCTGCTTCCCACACAATTTCCTTATCACAGCACTGTATAACCCCAGAGAGCCCTCGGGGGGCACCTGGCTGGTCCCCTTTCCGCTTGGGTACCGGTGGTGAGAGGCATCTCCCTGCCTCCTAAGGCAGAGTCCTTCCTGAGGGTAAACTTCCCCCAAGGACTCTGGTTGTGGCCCTCCAGAGTGACGGGCTGCCCTCCCCCACGTGGCACAGGGCTGTCTGAGCAGAGCAGGGCCCTAGGCTGGGCATGCTGACCACAGGCACACAGTGCATGGCCTGCGGGTTGCGGGCTCGCCCAGGCATGACGGCATAGGTGCTCTCCTGGCCGGCAGCCTGGCCCAAGATCAGGGCAGGTGGTGCTCAGGGAGCTGCTGTGCCTGTCCCCTGCCCTCAGCTTCTGAGCTGGAGCAGTGGCCGTGGGCCCTTGAGGGCTGAGATGGGGGCCACAGGGCCAGGTCTGAAGCCGCCAGACCCACCACTGCTTCTGTAAAGAGCCCAGCAGCTGGCCAGGAAGTAAACAAATTACAGGCCGCCCTTTGTGAGCTCTGGGGAACGTGCATGAGCAGAAACTATTGATTTCTTATCACCCAAACAGAAGGAGGTATCATACTCCAGAGACCCGCTGCCGGGAGGTGAGGCAGAATTCCCGCCCCTCCTGGGGAGCACCTGTCTCGGGGGCCTTTGCACTCCTGGTACCTAGTGCTGCCCTCTGCTTGGGGGGTTTGTTTTCCCGGGTGGGGCTGAGGCAGGGCCCCTCATGGCCTGTGCTGCAGTGAGGCTGAGGCATCCTGCAGAGGGGGGCTCAGGCATCCCGGGGGCGGGGCACAACAGGTCTGTGCTACCTTGCCCCCTCGGGGCCGGGGAGAATGTCTTTGCTCTACGCTCTGCCACAGGGCTTGCCACTCGCAGGCACTTATTATGTGAATCCAGAGGATGGCTCCCCAAGTAGGCCATCTGGATGGCCGTGTACACATTGGTGACTCCTGACAGCGACACTGCTCACTGGGGAATCCAAGTGGCTCCTTCTTGCTTGGCTCCGGGCTACAAGGGTACATTTACTTTCTGATCAAATATTATTCTGATGCTTGAGGCATCCTTGATGTTTGCAAGTCAGAAAAGTTTAATTACATGTGTCATTAGCATGGCATTCTGTAATAGCTCTGTGACTGAATTCATTAACAGAATTCTTAACAGATAAGACAAGACAAATTCATATTTTGTTGCTCATGAAAGCCTCTCATTAAGAGAGTAGTGAAAAAGTGATTCCTATTTTGTTGCCAATCAAGATGTCTCATACAAACGACAAAGAAAGGAGGCCCACACCTCTCGGTGCTCTCTAATCTGCCCGCCTTGGGTTTTGTAAGCTGATCAGCTTCCCCTGTTTGTGCAGCGTTTCGGAGCCAGTTGATCATTACAAGGCCTGTGATCGTGTTTCATCTCTGACTGTGGCAGCTGGGGGAGGGCGCTGAGATGCCACAGGCTGGGGGGCTCTACGAACCCCTCGATCCCCGATCTTTGCTCGACCAGGGTAGCGCCCCCCCGGGCTTTTCTCCCCTGACCAATCTTGCTTCAGAAATGCCCTGAGAATCCTGATGACCCAGCTCTACCCATCTCCAGCCTGATGTCCTCCTGGGGCTGCTCTCCTCACTGTCCTAGGACACGCTCAGTCTGAAAATGCCCAGGCGAGGAGGACAGCCTCATCCCCGTTTCCCCGCAGGCTCAGAGAAGGTGGCGGCCCTGGACCTGTCGGAGGTGGCTTGGCAGTGTCTCCCTCTGGATGAATCAAGGCTGACCTGAATCAAGGCGACTACAGGCAGCAGGGGCACCCCAGGGTCACATCTGCCTGACGGGGAGCCTCACCAGACTGCACTGGCTGCTGTTTGGGGACTCAGGCTGCAAGGGGTTGAGAGTGTTGTCTGGTGGGAGCAGTAATAATAATAATAATAATTAGTAATATTGTGAAAATGAGAGTGATAATAGCATGGAACATTATATGCTAAGAATTTCATGTGTCCCTTAATCCTCATTATAACCCTATGAGGCAGGACCTATTATTTATCCCTTTTCCACAGAGGAGGAAACTGAGGCCTAGAGAAGTCAAGTGCCATTTCCAAGGTCACTCAACTAGTAAGTGGCAGAACTGAGGCTTAAACCCAGGTCCTTCTGACCCCAGAGCCTGGCCCTTCATGAGTAGGCTGTGCTGCGTCCCTCCCCTCTTAAAGGCAGGTGCGTGCGTGTGCGTGCGTGCGTGTGTATGTGAGCGTGTTGTGTGAGTGTTGTGTTGTGTTGTGTTGTGTGTGTGTGTGTGTGCTTGCATGCATCGGGCAAGGACCCCTGCGGGGCTGGCGCTGCCCTGCACCTCACGCTGGGGTTTCTGAGAAGCACAGGCCCCTGCCTGCTTGTGGGCTGCTGACTTACCCAGAGCAGCGTTTCCTGGGAGGTAACAAGAGGCCATTAATCTCCAGTTGCACCCACAATTACCCAAATTGCTAACCTCACTGTGAAAAGTAGAAATTCAATTGAGCTGGTGCTGGAGGCATGTTCGAGGGAGGGGAAAGACACTCAGAGTAATTTAATTAACCGCTGGCAAGTGCATTAAGAGGAGTTCTGCCTCTGCCTTTATTTCTAATGTCTTTAAATAGAGCATCAAGCAATGCACATGGATGTTCAGACAGACACAGGAGGACCTGACCTAGTTCTGAATTAATCACTACTGGCCAAACATGGTTAAAAGCTCGCAACCCACCTTGAAAGAGATGCACACACAAATGTGCACCCCAGCGCACACACGTGCACATGCACACATACACATACACCCTAGTCTTTACAAACAGGACAGTGCCTTCCCTTGCTAAGATCGCAGAGAAGCCCTGGGCACCTCAGGCTCAGAAGATGAAGAACTCTGCCCACCCAGCATCTGACCATCAAGCAGCCACTAGGCTTGTGCTGGTACTGACATTCAGAGATGGGTGGGATATAGGCTATGCTCACTATAGTGGGGAAATTGCAAGGAAACCATCCTGCCTGGTGTGACAAAGGTGGGGGAAGGGCACTTCTGCCCAGCTCTGCCCAGGGTGGGACTCTAGAGTGATCCCCTCTTCCCATCTGCTTCCCCCATGTTCTCCAGGGCACATCCAGAGGGGCCTTGGGAGTAGCAGAATTCCAACTTTGTGGTTCCTGCAGGATTAAACGCTGGACCTCTCTCCCCACAAAGCAGTCTCAGAATTGGAAGGGATCTTCAAGGTCATGGGGTTTAGCTGCCCTCTTGTGGCTAGCAGCATTGTTTACCATGATCCTGCTTGAGCTTGTATGCCTCTAGGGATGGGGAGCTCACTGCCTCCTGTGATGCTCACTCCATTGCGGGGCAGGGCTGATGGCTGGAATGGTGTTGCATCTAAGCAAACCAATTGGTCTCTTTTTGGTCCCTTGCCCTTTGTGCTAGTCCATCTCATGGGTCACACAGCCCAGGCCAGCTCCCTCTGCCCCAGCACCTCCCTCATCACCTCACAGCGGCTACAAGAACTGACCACCCATCCCACAGGTCTTCCTTCTTGGGGCCAAGCAGCCCATTCTGGGTTGGCCTGTCCTGAGCCAAGGAGACCAGGGCTGCCCCTTTTCTGCCTGAAACTTGTATTCCTGTCACAGTAGCTCAAGACCTGTCAGCCATCCTGGCAGCGCCCTGTGTGGGTGACATCACTCCATCTTCTCACATGAACTCTCAGGAAGCCACCTTATCCTGTGCCAAACCAGGGCCAGTGCGTATTCTTGACTCAATCCCTTTATTCCTCAAGGCCAGTAGAAGGGAGGCACCGATAATGTTGCTCTTCTAATAGATTAACTCACTGAGGATCAGTTTAAGAAATTGTCCAGCCATAAAGGCAGAGTGGGGTGATGCTGGGACCCCAGTGCGGGGTGCCTGCGCCCTCAGAACCCAGGAGGCCCCCATTGCTCCTGTTAGGCTGTGAGAGCTCTGGAGCTCTCTTCTTCTGCTCAACTCATCACATCCATACTCACTCTCCCAGCAAACAAGGCTCCTGGGCAGGCCCCTCTGGCCTGATCTTGTTTCCTTTCACCACCCTGCTGCCCCTGCCCTCCAGCCAACCCAGCCCAGAGGCTCTGCCCTCCACAGGAAATACCCCCTCCTTGGCGTCCAGCTGTCTGTATCCTCCCCAGCTTCAGGGTCCAGAGTCTCTCCTGGGGGGCACCCAGCCAGATGCTCTCCCCTGCCCAGGAACCTCCTGCCCTGCCCACCGCGCCTCCCCTGTTCACCTTATTCTGGGGTTGGCTAGCAGCTTGCAGCCACCATCCATCCTATTCTCTGCACGAGGTGGGACTGATACCTCCAGACACCAGACAACAGGCTGAATGGCACCAACATGGGATGTGAAAAGAAAGCCCTCTGGCCCTGCAGCTACCACATGGCATCTCGGCATCTGGCCCAGTTGGCTTCCCTGGGAGGTGCGTCTGAGCTCAGAGTCAGAGCCAGGTGACTTACATTGATGTCTTCCAAATCCAGGAAGTTCAGGGCCAGCCCGTTGCGCTTCCAGACGATGGGCGGCCGCAGGTCTCCGCGGACAGCGCAGGTCAGCACTGTGCTCAGGCCCACGGTCACTGTGGCCACACTGACCCTCTCCTCAGGGGCGAGGCTGAGCTGTACCACCTCTGCAGGGAAAGGAGAAGCCGTCAGCTGTAGGCCCAGGAAATGGAGTCTATACCTGAAGGGATACAGCCCCAGGGATCTACTGCAGGTCAGGGGCCTCGGGCAAATTCCTGGAGCAGGAACATTGTCCACAATGTGCTGACTAAATGTACAGATGGACACACCTCCTGGGAGAGGGGCCACAACTTATGTTAAATGCTCAAAGGGCTGTTTGAGGCAAATCAGGTCAGGAACCACAGCTAGCGTAGGGGAAGCATCTGGGCTGTGGATCTGTGAGTCAAGCTAAGAGTGTGGGCTGCCCCTCTGAAACCAGGGAACCAGGTGTGCTGGCCCTGCCCTGTGCTCTCCAGGCCCCCTGGAGTCGGGGCCTTGCCAAGTGCTGTCAAGGTCTGCTGGCTGGGCCGACAGGTTTCTCATCTACCTGGGGGCAAATTAAAGGTTGCACTGTCTGAAGTCTGGGGAATGAACTGGCTGACCTTTGAAGGTTTGTTTCTGTCTAAGGATTCTCTGAACTTGGATTTGGATTTCTGCTCAGCCACCGTGCACTGTAGCCTTTAATTTTTTGAAGTGTACTTTAGGCTGTACAAATGATTAATCCTTGCCATTTTATACTTGATAACTGGCATTAAGACTGATCATCCATCAGACAAAGAGGAAGGGTCTAAAATATCTCCCTGCAATCACAGGCCTTTTGAAATTCTCAGGATTAAAGAAAAAAATCAAACTCAGGGTATTCAAATGCCAAAGTGGGATGAGGCTTGGAGGGGGTGTCACTAGCTCACTGACTGGACTACCCCTCCACTGTTCTGCCCCCAAATCTACTTGGGGGAGCTTGGGGAGGCAGCCAGAGGCAGCATGAGTGGCGGGAGGGGGCTGGCTCTGGGGGCCTGTGCTACTCTGGGATGCCAGCAAAGACGCTGGGACCTGGGGGCCTGACAGGTGTGGAGAAAGGCACAGAGTTGGGACCTGAGCTCTGTGACTCAGCGGGACACTTTTGAGCTGTGACCAGGCAGCACACCTGTGCTCACACCCTCTCGCCAGTGTGTGTGGGAAAGGAGGAGGGGAAGGGGAGCAAAAACAGCTGTAGGTGCCACGCACCGCAAAGCAGGTGCAGTGAAAGCAGGTGCACTAAGGTCTGATCCTGAGCCCCAAAGCCCTTTCTCCTCTGCAAACATTCAGTGGCCTGGCCCTGGGAATGAAGAGGAACAAGATGTACACTAGGTGCTTAATCGGTGCTTGTTGGATGGACGGATGGATGAAAAATGGAGAAAACGGAAATAAAGAAGGAAAAAAGAGCCAACAGGCCAGTGGAGAGGGGCAATCACACAGAGGAAAAATGTGACTCCCGCTGAAGGAGCCACAGGAGGAAAGGTAAGCACTGAGCGGCTGATGCAGACGCAACCGGCGTAATATTTTACAAACATTAAAGTGATGCATTTCAAGTTCCCTCTTAAATCATGTTCTGCTTGCTGCCCTCCCACCTCTGAGTCATGAGGCTTATTGCTCCAGCAGAGAAGCCGCTAACCCTCTGTAGCAAGAGCCAGGCTTTGGAGATTCAGAGGGGTAGAGAGAGGGAGAGAAGAACTTGCTATAATGGTTTATTTCCCACTGTGCCCAAGTGCAGAGGAGACAACTCTTCCTCCTCAGAAGAGCCACAAGGCTCCGTGCTCTGTGGAAGTGGGAGGGGGTGTGGAAGGCCCCCCTCGTCCCAGGCGTGTGGGAAGAAGGCGGGAGACAGCGGGAAGGGCAGAGAGCATGCCTGTTGGTGTGCGGGTGAGGGGAACCACGGGGGGCTCTAGGAGGAAGCTGAACCCTCCCTCAAGCGGCCTGCACCCCACCACCTCAGGCGACCACAAAGATGTGGCAGAGAACCAGGGCCTGCGCTCGTCTGCCAGAGCCCCCTCGGTCCCTCGTGGCATGGAGGGACCCAGAGGTTCCTGCCTGGGTCAGGGTGTGCTCTGGGCCCCTGTACCTGAGGACTGCATCGGACTCTCAGACCTGGGCCTGACGGAACGGCCTCCAGACCTCAAGGGCACATCGTGCCAGTGGGGACGCTGGACTCCACTAGGCTGAGAGTGTCCAGACCAAAAGCACAGCAGGGCTGACCTCTGCTGCGGGTGCCCGTGGACAGCACGACCAGGGGTCCTCGCGGTGGGGACCAGAGGTGGCAGTGGACAGCCGCACGCTTCCCTCTACACTCAGAAACCAGCTTGGGGGGCTGGGAATTGGAGACACAAAGCATTTTTATTAGCCAGGGCATTACTTACGTGGACTGTTAAAATGATCAGCTCGGACTAAGCTTTACAATGGACTGAACATTTAGGGACATTTTTCTCCCAGTGGCTGGTGGGTGGGGTGTGTGAAGCAATCAGTTATGTTACAAAAGGAACCTATGTTTTCTTTGCATGTATGAGCACCAGTGAGAGTAAAAGTAAAAGGCCAACTGGGAAGTCAGGGAGGGGCCCTCAGAGGAAGCAGGACCTCCCCTGGGCTCCAGAACTCTGCTTCTCCAGGTATGGTTCCTCCCGCCACCTGCATCTCATCTCTGGGGCAACTGATCAAAACGCAGACTCCTGTCCCTCAAGCCCAGGCTGGTACTGTCTGGTGGCAGGATGGGCATCAGGTTTTAACAATCATCCAGGGGCTTCTGTGGTACCTGAGGCCTGAGAGCCACTGCCTTAAAAGATTGGGGTGCGGTGGGAATGGGGAGATGGAAAGGGAGAATGTGGGTGCATGTGGGGAGGGGAGGCAGTGTGGTCAGTGGGGTCCCAGGGGCCTTAATTACCAGTCTAGGAGCATGGGAATGGAAGATTACGTGCAGTGTAGGAGCCCCTTCCTCCATGTGGCCCCAAAGTCTTCCATTTTAAACAGTTGTAGAAAAATGGCTGGAGGAGCCTATAGCACGGGGCTAAAACCAAACAAACAAACAAACAAGCCCGAGTGGGAAGCCTGTGTGGCTCGCCATCCGCCGCTGGGATCTGGTTCCCGCATCTTTCCTGAGTGCACCCTCGAACATCTGTATGTCTGAAGATGTGTGATTTTCACGGGAAAGACGCATGCAAAATTAGAATGCATGAGTACTGACAAAACCATCATAATTCTGCTCCTGTCAGCTACACAAATATTAACCAAACAGCAAATATTTGGGTCATTTAAAGTTTAATTAAATGAATGTTTTATTAGATTTCGTCCATGTCAATATTCCCCAGATCCTTTTAAAATTCTGGAGATATTTATGGCAAATGAACTGCTCCTCACTCTTGGTTATTTACTGTTCAACACGTCTTCCCCGGCAGGCCCCATCTCCCAGGGTGATTTCCCAGTGAGGGAAAGATGAGGCAGCATCACGGCCTGGGGCTCGAGCGAACTGGGCAGATGCCTGGCTATGGCTCTGGACACCCTGGCCTCCAGGCCTGGCTCTGCTGGTGACACCCGAGTGGCCTCGGGCAGGTCCTTCCTGTCCCTGGGCCTCAGTTTAGACATCCATATAATGAGGGATTGGGCTAGGAGGGCTCTGGGGGCCCGGCTGGCTTTCAGGCTCTAGGATTCGGAGTGCACGGTTCTGAGCAGACGTCCCTGCTCACTCTCCCCGGTCCTGCCGGGAGCTGCCCGGCTGCTGCTTCCCTCAACACCACCTGCCTCTGTTCCTTGCCCACTTGCCGTGATGGTACAAGTGACGCCTCAAGTGGCAGCGTGAACAGTTGCCAAGCCCACAGGGACTTCCCTCCTGATATCCCCTGAACCCTCCCATCCCTCTCCATCCAGGTCCTCAACGGCCTCCTGTATGGTCACCCCTCCAGTTTGCCCCTTCTGCCCATGAGTGTCCTGGTCACCACTTGGAGTACAAGATATATCACAGCCCTGCTCAAAAGCTACTAGTGGCTCCCCATCACCCACAGATTCACCGTGAATTGAGAACAGTCCCTGACCTTGCCCCACATTCTCCTCCCAGGTGACTCAACATGGTACCCACTGGTCCCCATCCCATTGTGGTTTGGGGTCTAAGCTTGTGCCTACTTGGCACCTTCTACTTGTCTATTCTGAGACTCTCACACTCTCGGTCCCCAACTCCAGGATGACCTCATGGGATGTTTCTGGGACTCTGAAGTCTTCACATAAGGAGACACTTGGACAGACATTGGGTGAAGATTGAAAGAAATCATCCTGGTGAACTTATCATGATCTTTTCAGCCTTAAGTAACAGAAATTCTCAGAAATGCTCAACTAGCCTAGGGAAAAAAAAAAAAAGAAAAAACAAGAACGGGGATGATCTTAATGCCTGTAATTGGGAAATGTAAGCGGGTGGAGGAGGCTGCAAGTATCCAGGGCCCTCAACAGTGGCACTCTTCGCGTGGCTGCAAGATGTCCAGGGGTGGCCCCACCCTCACATTGTTCCTGTACACGGGATCCCGGAGAAAGGGCCCAAGTCCTTCCTGAGAGCCCTGCCAAAAAGCACGGGGGGAATCTAATTGCCCAGGCTCATCTCCTGCGTTCTTCCCTGAAGCAATCAACCAGGCCAGGTGGATGGAGTACTTTGCAGTCGCAGTACTGATCGACCCACAGGCCTGGGCCATGTGGTCACCGCTGGGCCGGGTGCTGGGTGGTTGGGGGTGGGGTCAGATGTCACGACAGAAAGGGTGTGCTGCGCAGATCAACACCCTGTGACCCCCACAGAGACACCGAGAGGGCCCCTTCGGTCCCCTCCATTCCTTCACAGCCCTGTCTGGAAGCCTCTACATGCTGCAAGATGATGATGGGGCGGTGGCTGGAGCCATGTTGTGAAGACAATGAGAGTCATCAGGAGGAAACCTGATTTGTTACCACCGTCTGCCCCCCACCTGCCCCCTCTTTGGAGAGTGATCTGGAAGGGCTTTGTGATGGTGGTGTGGCAGAGCTGAGGGGACCCCACAGTCCTCTCGAGCCTCCCATGGCGATGGGGACAGGAGGAGGGCCAGGCAGCCTGGGATGTGCGTAGATGGCCCTCTTACGTGTTCAGTGAACA